AGTTTGAACTGTAGGCATCAGATTAAACCTTATTCTAGGTAGACAAGTCACCCCCTTGTCCAATTTGACCATCTATTTAGGCCTTGTACATTTTCGCACAGACTTTTCACTGGGCTGGCACACAACTACAGTTTGATAACGAAGCTGTGCCCTGCGCTTTTGGGCCCTGTCTAGGCGTTTACGGCATCGCGGGCGCCTCGGGGAGCAATAGCAGGTCAAGAGAAGCTGGGCCATAGCTCTGTCGATCAGCCGGCCCGGCCGGAACAACAATTGTCAACAGTAAAGAGTCCCACAGGCCAAGAGGTTGCCTGTCTCTCTGCAACCTTCAGGGGCTCGCCGCCGCAAGCTGGTCCGAGGCCCCGTCCCAAAACCCATCGGTAAAAATTTGAGCTGGTCCTTTATTTTTGATTATTTATTGGAGCTTAGCTTCGTCCAAATCGCAAACTCTGTGAGCCCTGTATTCGACACCCCATGTCACGGACAGAGGACAGATCCATTCTCGAGAGTTTGGGCCAATTGATAGTTAATACATCAATGGCCACTCCACAATTTTGATTGCATTCGCTGTCAGTGCCATCTAATTTTGTCGGCGTAAACATGCACATCTCTCTTTGCTGACTCCACGGGCACAAACGGAAAGGTGATGGACCGTTGTCTGGCTGTGGTTCACGTAATAATTGGCAAGCAAGTTTTTTGGGGATTGGAGTTTATTATGATCTTTCTTGGTCTTACCACCAGTATGTCACGTTGATATCAATTTGAGAAACCTGGAGCCACGGCTGGGAAACCAGTGACGAATGAGTCTATTTCAGATCGAGTGAACGCGTCCATTGCCTTCTCTCCAGCCCTCACTGTAAATACTTTCAACGAACAATCGAGACATTTGCTCACAATGCGTATCCTTAAAGACTCTACGCATGGTCTCGGTCAAGCAACTCTCGTCCAACGTATCTGCACCTACATTTCACACCAACAAGGATGTGACTTCTTACTTTCGCTTTCCTACAATTCCTCGCGCCGCCCCTATCGCATTCCCACCAAGTACACATAAACATGTCCGGCGATGCTCTAAAAACAACTCCACGCCTAGTAGGCATCCTAAATCTGGCATTTTTTCAAACACATCCATCACCGTCGTCTATGCCGTAAGATTTCTTGGTTCTTGGCCACTATCACTCTTTAGCCACTTCGCATGCTTTGTTTCATCATCTACTCATCCGCCGCCGCCGTCGCCTCTCTCAATTCAGCACTGACCCCTGGTGCAGTTGAATGCCACTCCTCTGCCTCTGTGCCCTGAGTTCATCTGGTCAGGCACACATATATCAAAAGGCTTCTTGCAATATCAGATGGCTGTGTGGATTTTTTGGGGGCTCTTTTCCAATTGCTCAATCAGGCAACTTCTTTTCATAATATAATCTGTGCCAACTCAACTCATTTGGACATTAATTTCTTGTTTTTTCGACTTCTGGTCTATCGTTATCGTGCAAGCTGCTTTCTTCATCCATATTTCGATATACTACACTGGACTGAAAATTTTATTGTTTTTAAAGCCCAAACGTCTGGCAGCACATACTTCAAAACACCGTCCAACTTTACACTCGCCGCCGTGCCAATCCTCCCATCAAAAATGGATCAACTCATGTTACTTGTACTGGTGCTTGCAGCAATAGCTGGAGCAAAGCCTGTGGACCAGTTAAAGCCTGGGCCTATCACTAGCTCCCAACTAGAGGCTATGCCAACTCCTACCTCTAGGTCACTGGAAAGACCTAGCCCAATAGCTCTAGTTGATGATATTTTTTCTACCTTTATTCTTCCATCCAAAAATCCACAACTTATTGTCACGTCAACTGTAACACCAATTGTAGCTGTACGTACGACTTCGACTATTTCTGGTGTGATGCAAATTCTGCCTTCTCCAGGCACCCTACATCCGGAGACTTTGGGTACGGTACTCACCACTTTAGACATGCTTGGACATGCCACCAATCCTCCCGTGATTCAAACACAAATACCATCCCCAACAAAACTCATATCACCAGCCTCCGTAACGCTAAGGACTGGCTCAATCGAATCTACCCCTATTTCTCACAACATATTTCAACCGATCGCCACTGATTCCCCGCCTGGTGTGTTCAGCACGCGTCCTGATCATCCTGTACCCAGAAAAGGAATCAAATCCCAAACCGAGCCGTTGTCAACAAACAAGTTTTACTCAAACTTCTATCTCGGCAGCCAAACCGCTCAAACATGGACGCACCCTTACAGCCTTTCGTGGGTCAAAGGCGGCGGAAGTCTGAAGAGCTGGGGAATGTCCATCACCCAGCTTGACGCCAGCCAGAAAGTTTACGGGCCCGATGCTTCGGCTAATCCTGTTGGTTATTTCACCCACCCCCTCGGCATCTTGTCCCTTGTACTCTCTTCGTCTGAGCTCAAGTCTTCGACTTGCCTCACCACCGACTCCTTAACTTCGATGTCTGCCAATGTCAACTTACATCCAGACGATAGTGCTCCGGCGCAGATTGTATTTCCTCTCGTGCAGGGAATGGGATTTGTCACTGCAGTCTTTAATAGTGGCACTCCTACCCTAGAAAGTGCGACTTTGTTTCGAACATTTACTAAATTTTCATCTGCTCCCAAGCCATGTGTCTCCAAATTCAAGATGATTCTCGAAGACGATACAACCTGGCTTTTGTATGCTTACTCACCTTCGGGGGCAGATCTCGATTTCACTGTCGTCTCGAATGATTTGATCCAAGCTACATCTGAATTCGAAGGCACTATTCAAATTGCCAAAATTCCTTCCACAGATACTACAGCAGAACATCTCTATGATGCTGCCTGTGGTGCCTTTGCTACTTCCGTCGATATTTCCGGATCGGCAGATGGTGAATCAGGCTCTTACACTTTTTCATTTGCCAAGGGTGGACTGGCCAATACCACTCTTGCCATGTTTGCCCTTCCGCACCATATATCCTCGCTTTCTCCAGAAATGTCAGCATCAGTAAGCACACTGCAATTAGAAACAACTACCAAAGGGAAGGCTACTGCTATCATCGCTGATTCCTGGACTATGCTAGAAAAGCTTCCGACTGACATGGGATTCGGGCCTTGGAACCCTCAAATGCAAAAGAAGAAATATGCTCTCTCTGCAGCCACAATCAAGGTCATTCACACCGTTGCTTGCAGCGAAATATCCCAGAATATGACTAAGCAGACAGACCTCGATTCTATTTACTTCAGCGGAAAGGCCTTGGCCAAATTTGCTGGGATCACTTACACTCTTCAAGAGCTCCTTGGTGATCCGGCTATGGCGCAGGCCGGCTTGGAAAATCTCAAAGATAGCTTTGCTCTCTTTTCCTCTAACACCAACAAATTTCCGCTGGTCTATGAGAGTGCTTGGAAGGGAATAGTCTCATCGGCTACCTACAGTACGGGTGATCCAGGCGTTGATTTCGGAAACACATACTACAACGATCACCACTTTCACTACGGCTACTTCATTCTCACAGCTGCCATTATTGGATCAATGGACCCAAGCTGGGTTTCAGTTAATAAGGCCTACGTCAATACGCTCGTTCGCGATATCGCCAACCCATCAGAGCTTGATCCTTATTTTCCCGTCTCGCGTAGTTTTGACTGGTACCATGGACATTCCTGGGCACACGGGCTCTACGAATCCTTCGATGGGAAAGATCAGGAGTCCTCTTCCGAAGATAGCATGTCTGCCTATGCCCTCAAGATGTGGGGTCACGTGAGCGGAGATTCGAATATGGAAGCGCGCGGCAACCTGCAATTGGCAATCAATGCGCGCAGCATCCAGAACTACTACCTCTACCTCCGAGATAACATGGTGGAGCCGCGCAAGTTTACGGGGAACCGAGTGGCCGGAATCATGTTTGAAAACAAGATCGATTATACAACCTTCTTTGGGTCGCGACCGGAGCTCATTCACGGCATCCACATGCTCCCTCTCCTACCGAGCAGCGGCCTCACACGCACCCAGACATTTGTCCAGCAGGAGTGGGATGATTTCTTCTCGCAGGGCCGTGTAGAGAGCGCGCAGGGCGGCTGGAAGAGCCTGCTCTACGCCAATCTCGCTTTCATTGACGCCAAGAGCTCGTGGAACTACTTCAGCTCCTCTAACTTCAACGACGCCACGCTTGACGGCGGTGCCAGTCGCACCTGGTATATGGCCCTCGCCGCCGGTAACGTTCTCCTCTCTCTCCCCCCTCCTGCGCTAATAGACATATAGGATTCGGTGGCAGCGCCTAACTCCCTCACTGTGTGCCGGCGAGTCGAGCTTGCCAGGCCCTTCACATGACGCTGTCTCTTATAAGATGACGCGCATTCCACTTCTATATCCCTTTTCCACATTATGAATAAATGCCTCGGTGGGCCTTGTTATGCCCGTTCTTCACCGTCCTCCCGATGTCTGCAGGCTAAACCGCTATGAATTCATTTAGCACTAGTTAAAACCCTGCTGGGTGCTACTGTTTTGCATTTGGGTCGGAGACGCCCAACTTTGTGGGGCCTAACTGCAACGCTTAGCAACGCCTAGTCTACGATTGTGCCCGGAGACATCTGTTAAACAATCTCATGACAGGATGTACTTCAGTAGAGAACAATCAGGGTTGGGGTAAGGTTTACTCACGCCAGTTTAGAATTAGATTAGGAAACGAGAACAGATGTATACTAATTCTATTTGGTAAGGGGGTAAATTTTCGAAAAGGCTGAGCCGTTAAGTGGTTGATCAATGAAGTACAAACGCGCAAGCTAGTCACATAGATATGGACAAACGGAGCAAGATCTACTTTTTGCCAATTGAACTACACTATGAAAACCTGCCTGACTCCATACCCTTTATTATATAATATCATGATTTTCACCGTCATATAAGCCGTTAATCATTGATTGATTCTTTTAATTCTCCGATACAAACGCAATAATTTCAAGCCAATGCTAGGGTAAACACACTTGCCGGCGGGTAAAAGAGACAGATGTTAATATCCCACCAAATTTTGTATAGACCTTTTAACTACGAGCGCCGAGTCAAGGACTATATCTCCTGCGTCATCGGGATATACTAGGAAAGCTAATGCGATTATTATGTATAATCCGAGTAACTAAGTAGTTAGCAAACGAAATTTTTTGTAATGAGATAATTCGACGTACCATTGCACCTTCAAGATAATTGCTCTTTCCATCCTGAATAACGTATGTGACTACCAAAACACTTAAGAAAAAAACCATTGTCTCAAATGTTTCAAAGTGAAGAGTTAATGGCTGCCCAATTATCCATCCAAGGATAACTAATGTAGGTGTAACTAGAAGAGCGATTTGTAACGAGCTCCCAATAGCGACTCCCATGGCTAGGTCCATTTTGTCCTTCACCGCAACAACAACTGCTGTGGCATGTTCAGCGGCATTTCCGACAATTGGGATAAGTATTAAGCCAATAAAAGTCTTTGATATGTGCATGGTTGAGACGATCGGATCAATTGAGTCGACTAGATACTCAGCACATACGGCTACGGCAATCGTAACAACAATTAGTACGCTTGTGGCCGCCCATACTCCCATGTGCTCTTCTTCACACTCTTCTTCAGCTTCTAGAGCTTCGGACTCTGCATCGAAAAGAGAAGAGTGAGTTCGTAGTTGAAACACGAGATAGAGAATATACAGGATCAGCAGTATGATGGATGTACCGTGGGAGAGAAGTAGGATGTTTTTCATCGAGCCTTCCGAAGACTGGGCAAGTGCTGCATAGAGCTATTCGAGTTAGGCAGAAGAAAAAGGGTACCTAGGTATAGGCTTACTGTAGCAGGTATGATCAGCGTAGCAGAAGCAACTGTCATCAAGGATGACATAGTGGAAGCGACTGTGGAGTTAAAATTTTGTTGGATACCAGCCGCGGTGCCAGTTCGGCTATTGTGGATACCACCAGCCAAAAAGCAGCATCCAAGCACAAGAAGCATATTGGAAAGGATTGAGCCTAGCATGCTAGACTGCACGATCCTAAGCTCACCCTTTCGCAAGGCAACAATGCTAACCTAAGGACTATTAGAAGGATCAATCAGATGCGGATCTAGAGGCATACAATCATTTCAACAGCATTCCCGAAGGTGGCATTCAGTAAACCACCTAGAGTTTCGCCTAGTTTCATTGAAATTTCTTCGGTGGCAAAGGATAAGACAGCAGCGAGCGGGACAACAGCCAAAAAGTTAAATGCGAAAACGAGATTTGGACTCCAGTTTTGAAGACCAGAAAAAATTCCTAATGGCACAAAAACTAGTAGTATGTTGACGTAGCTGCTGTAGAGGGTAAGCTCAGTAGTTCGGATAGTGTGTGCCAAGAGCCTTATTGCCCTATTTTCACTTTCTTGAGCAGATCCGAGAAAGCGTAGTATGGAGTGTTTTCGGCATGGAACAGTTTGCCCACTTATGAGGCCGGTGGTTTCGGTCACAGTCATGTTGCGGCTTGACGAGTTTCCCGGGTTGGGCTTAGGTTTTTGGAATTTCGTCGCTTTTCGCAATTCTCGGCGAAAGGGAGGACCTGCTACAAATAACTGGTGAGTAAGATGGCGAGCGTTAGGATATCTTTGTCGTTGGAGGCAAGTAGAAGGTGAGTTGAAAGAGCAGCAGAATCAGTTGGATCTTGTCACTCGACTAGATTTAATGTATAATCTTGATTTGCTTTATTCTCTGAGAGCGAGAGAGAGTGTGACAGGATGAGTTCTCGTCTGGAATTACAAGATTGTAATACGTAGTGCGAGAGGGTCTCAATATATTTTTTTTCCAAGAGCAGCCCATGGCAAAGAGGTAGACCAGGATGATGTATGAGAATGTTGTAACATTGAGGGGGGCCCCGACGAGGACCGGGGCAACAAGGAGATTAAACTATACTTACACACCATCTTGGCGACCTTAGCTTGACCAAGTAGTAGGGACGGCAGCAGCAGTGGAAAGTGGTGAGTGACGAAATGAGGGAACGGATGATCTTTGGTGGATGATGTTCGGTCAGGGTAAATGAAGCAGCGGTTGAGGGAAAAGGAAGTTTTCGATGAGCGACAGATCAGGCCAGGCTGGCAGTGAGGAGAATGGTGAGGTGGTCTACTCGTGAACTGATGTTGTGGCCTAGTGGTATAATGCTGCACAGTCCCGTGAACCAGCTTCTGCCTGCTCGGTAGATACCTCGCCCCTTCCCGTGGTCCGGGGATCTTTGCACAGCCATGCTTGGCGTCACACTGATGCCACAACGTTGCAACTAGCATCGACCGAGCCGCAGGCGAAGCCCCGGAGTGGCTGGGGTGTTACCGGGCTACCGGGGGTTGCTGCCAGTTACAGTTCCGTTCCTAGATCAATCTATCGGATTTGACATGTCTTCCTTTCGGCTGGACTATGTAAGACTCCCTAGAGACTAGGTGTTTGTCAATCTTCCAGGACCTCCATGCGACCTCTCCCCGCCACATCCCCTCGCCCCATGCGCGCCATTGGTAGGAAATTATTTGCAGCTGGCCCTGTTAACAAAGTTATTCAGGCATGCTTTACTGCCATGCAGATCAGAGGTGCCCATTTCGTTAACGTCATCCCAGTGGAAAACCAGTAATTAAGGGCAAAAGACTTTATGTATCCCACGTTACCGAGTGCCTAACTGTTGCCTAACACTCTACGACCCTTCTCTGCGCCTTCCTGGCTCGACGCTTCTGCCGTTCCATTAGCTTGCGACAAAGCCTTTTCTCTTCGTGGCTTAGGTGCCACGGCTGGCTTAGAATATTCCGTCGGAAATCGCGAACTTCGTTCCAACAGCGCACCTCTGTGTCGGTGCAACCTAAAATCTCAATCTTAACCACCTCTACCTGTCGCTGCTCCCACCAGAAGCCGATACGTCCTTTGACTTTGACCACTGATCCAACGACGACGAGGTCCCAGGGCACGCTTGGAGTGAGTACTGATGGCATCGCTTTGTCTCCGCCGCTGCCAATATCTTTCGACCTTGCCCCGGAGTTTCCATGCGATGTACTGGCCGGACAGTCGATACAAGCTCCACTACTATCATCGAGCGTGTAAACCCGCATAGCCCTCGTTCCGTTACCGCGCTCAGCGACGGCTACGATAATACCAGTGAGTCGAACCCATTTCACAGGATGATTCCCCCAGTGCAAGAGGCGATGGCCTGTAAATACGTCTAACAGTCAGCCCAACACTCCTTGAGATAACAGGAGAATGGAAGGAAACGGCGCGTGTGCGCTTTACCTGCCGTCGCAGAACATTCCCACATCATCCAAAGCATGTACATCAATCGTTCGTACTGGACACCACTTGCCAATCGTTGGCGAGAGAATATGGCAGTAGTCCGGATAGATAGGAGGGTCAGCCGCAGGCGCGTTGAGGACGCGTGGCATATCGGTAGCGTTTACTAATAATCTTGCTATCAACACTGTTGTTGTAACAGAACTTTTAAGTGAGCTTACCTGGATTCAGGCGATGTCTCTGAACTTTTAGGTTCGCACGTCGTGTTTTCCGAGTAGATTCGCTGAGTCCAGTGAGAATACGTATCTCAGGGACGTCTAGCCAAATGAAGGTATCGCACGGACCACTGTTAATTACGCAAGCGTATATGGCCAAGGCTACAAGTGCACTCATCTCGCTTCCCCGCAATTAACGATTGATTCATTAGAACTACAGCTCGGCATCGTGATCGAGGAGCTAGGGTAATATATTCTTGCAAAACAAGGAATTATGATTGTTGTTTGCGTGGTCTAACCGCATAACCTAATATTTAATCCATAGTCTTTCATCCCCAAGTACTTCACCAGGTCCGTACCGATGAAGCTCATCGTCTCGTGCGCTTTGAACGCCGTCCCCTATCAGCAGACTCCAGCTTAGCACGAGCGGCAAGGAACTCTTCTTCCGACGGCTCAGTTTCGGCTGCTCGCTTTTTAGCTTTTTTACTCTTAGTCTCAGCCACCGACTTATTTTGGTCCGCGTACTTCGCCGCTAATTCGTCAAGATGAGCGCTTCGATTCATCTGGTTTTTTTGAATGAGCGCTTTGAGCGTATTTTGTCCTCCATCAGGTGCTGTTTGAAGCAAGTCTTCCGCATGCGCTGCTTCGGCCATCGAGGCCAGCTCAGCTCTCTCCTTCTGCCATTTTAATAGGCGTCGCTTGCGGGCAGCAGTACTTTCATGTGTGAAGGCCTTATAGGCTTTTACTTTGTCAACTCGAATAGCCTCATTAATTATGGCCCGAATTCGATCCTCATCTTCCAGTGGATCGCTCAACATGACACTCTCAAATATCTTGTCCCACTTTCCTTGATACAGTGTATATGCCGCGAGGATATCATTCATCTCTTCGTCGGAGCCCTTGTAGCTACGAGAAAACTGCGCTATTGAGCTCTGCGTGATAACATCCTTAAACTGCGCGCGGAAAAAGTCGCTCCAGCAAAAGTCTTGGTCGATCGATAGGGAGTCAGCTGTTGAGCCTGTATCATCGTAGCACTTCCTGCGCCTGGCATCGGAGAGTAGAGCGTATGCGAAGGCTATTTCCTGGAACTTGGCATGCGCTTCTAACTTGCTGTCAGGAGGAACTTTGTCTATTGGCAGATGTTAGTAAGTGTATTCGAAAGTAAATCATTATCTCTCCAGCTCTCTGTGGGCCAGCCTCAGCATTGGAGGCTATAGAGCTTAATGCGCTCTCACCTGGATGATGCTTTAGAGCTGCTTTCCGATAAGCGGATTTAATATCGTCGGCGCTTGCACATGGCTCGATATCAAGTACCTGGTAAGGATTGATCACGGGAGGAGTGGACTCAGGGTCTTCCAAGTCGAGGGGAGGCGAGGCTCTGGATCTGACTTTCTTTTTGGCGGGCATGATCGGATATGGATAGGTCGGGCTCATGAGGGCTACTTGTCGGTTAAGATCAGGTGTCGCGTCTAGTTCCGATGACCAATAGTCTACGCGAGCGCGTGCTTCACCTCTATGCAGGGTTCAAGCGATAGGCTTCGCGGCCGGCAGCATTACACCTGACATACGTGATTCTCTCAGGCCTTCATTTCGTTCGCGCGCGAGGGGAGATACGGAAAAATGTTATTCCATTGCGTACTATATGAAGACCCGTGGGGATATCATTGCTAGACAGAAGCTAAAAAAAAGGAAGAGGAGTGAATATACTTGCATTCATTTTTAACGTGACTCTTTAACCTCTGCGTTCAATGGATCCGGCTGGTTGCTTCAATTGTAGCAATTAGTCAAGCCGCGACGCGCTGCTTTTCTCCAAGAATTAGAGACTTGAGCTAAAATAGGCAGAGTAGCAATGCTGCACCTCGGCAAAGTGCCAAAGTGACCTGCGGAGCCGCTTCCGCAGCTTTATGCGCGATTGTAATCAGTTCTGCAGCTCCTTTTCTCCTCAACCCAACCGACCCACAAGTGAAAGGTTGACATTTTCCCCCTACTCTTATCAGCTATTCCATCTTACGCGATTTCACATTTTAAATTTCCCTGACGAGCTGCCGAAAGTAGCTGATCTGATCCGTGAGACCTCTCTTGATTAAGCCCCGCCAAGCGACGACAAGGAGTGAGGATTGAGACTCTCATGTATTCAAATGAGCTACAGGAGCGACGGGGTAGAGACGAATAAGGAACAAGACATGGCTGGCTGGATCAATAGAATTCAATACGATGACTGGGTCAGTAGATGAGTGAGCGTAGTGTATGTGTTCAAAGACCATGTCCCATGAGGCGGAAGAGAGCGATTCTCAATTCTGTGCACCTGGGCCATGGCTTTCTGCCAGCAATTTAATTGGAACTCGCGTCAGACTGCAGACATCATCTGAGTATGGGCGTTAATTTGAGGGTCTGGTGCGGGCGTCGAGCTGGTCAGCGGCACGAATTACGCATGCCGCAATGAATCATCGACAAGCTCTGGTACCGAGCTATCTAAGGTAATCCGGCCGTGACACTGTGGATCATTAACGAACTTAGTAGCTCGGATAAAAACAAATGTTGTCGACTAGCCACTAGACTCCTTCTGGAAAAAGGCAACGTGCGCCGCCTATCTGCATATCCGAAACGCCTATTTACAAAATTGTCTGGAGTGGGTGATGGTAGTTGTCCGGCGACTAGGCTATTGCTGTTACTGCTTATTTCGGATAGTCTTACCGGATGCAATGAAATCGAGACTTCATGGCCTTGGCGAATTTAAAGTGCGTATGTAGCGGGAGTAGTCCATTTCTGACTTGTCGAAGCTCGAAACTGCCGATCGCTCTTACTATGGGCCTTCTACGCCAGCTACTCATTAGTTTTGGATCCGACCCGGTCAAGATTACAAGTGAAGCTGTGACCACGTATCAGATTATAGCGGTCATAGTGATAGCGGTCTTCAGGGCGCGGTCGGCGATTTCTGAGTAGCTGAATCTCCTTGCATTGAGACAACGCCAAGTAAATGCCAAGCAAAGGCCATCAGATCCGATATTATTGATCATCGGAATTCATCTTTGTCTAGGATCAGGAGCAATTGTTGACACAGAGCTGGTTAGTGCTTTGGACTCGTCTTGTAGCCATTCGTGTTATGCAAGCCCTCTGCCTGACGAACCGATCGTAGTTCTTATTCAATGACTAGCCTGCGTATCTTTGGGCGCTAACAAGTCGTACGTTCGAAGTCGAGGTCGAGTGTTCATCGGAGGCAGTGCAATCTCATCGTCAATAGACGCTTGTTGGGATTGAAGAGTTTATTTTCCAATCCCTGGCCGGCTTCATCGCCTCCAAGCCTTACTCCGAGCAAAGATACTACCGTGCACGGTCTTGGCGTTCAAGTTCGGTTCAGCAGTGTTCATGCGAGGGGTCGTGTACTATCTTACCACTTAACAATATCAATTCTACACATCTGTACCCGAAAGAACTCGTGCTGTAAAGATATCAAGAGTCAAGACGCGTTATCAACTCCCTATAAACCGCTATCATCTACTGCAGAGTCAACTGATCCGAGTCCGAGAATTACCATTGTAATTTTCACAAAGTTATTTCCCCTCCTCGAAAGATACACTTACGATAAAACCTCGACGATCACAACGACGATAACAGCCCTAGACAAGGGGCAAGGAGTTGCATAGCCACACGCTACAGTGGTAGTTGCTCAGTGGTGTCCTCTACGAACCTGGGAGTGAAGTATTCTCTCAGAGCCGAGATTCAGTCACGAAAAAGGATGGGATGAATTATAATTGATGGATTTTCGACTTGAAGGAGTTGCACTCGATATTTTGGTCGAAAAATCAGTCGGCAGAGATTTCACAGCCGTAACAACGTCGAACAAAAAGTCATCACCACCAACATACGATTCACGAATGGGCCTAGGTCTATCTGGGGGTCGTATTCAAATATCCGACATCTCTTAAACTCCTTTTACACTTGCGACGAAGCATTTCTCAATCGATCCTACACCTGCGACCCACCTCCATACCCGTCCGATCGCCTACCTACACACGCCCTAATGAGGAAAGTCATGATGGAAACGGGACGTGTACAAAGGAGGAAGAAGGGGGAAGATACACCGAGGGGATTACACAAATCCCCAATGACGAAAACAACCCAACGGTACGATATGAAGATGCAAGGCTAGAGCAACGATGAGATCTTGGACGGCAATTATAATTCGGAGTCAATAAGGATGTCAAGGGCTCGGGCGCGTGGTGGCCGAGGCTGAGGAGGAAATCGCGCTACGGCGTATATACAGCGGGTTTCTGGACGGTTAGGCTTGGTATGATTCAACACATGGGTGAAGTCTGAGGCGGTCCGGTCATTTAAGTGGGATGAAGTATATCTGTACTTCACGGTAGTTAACCCGATCCGGCCCAACCCCACACGTGCTTAAGCTCCAATAGAAGTGTAACGGTAGCCATGTCACCTAGCACGTTAATGAACAAAACAAAACAAAAACAGTGGTAGTTGCGATGTCCCGCGCTACATTCAAAGATGTATAACCCATCAACTAATGGCTACAGAACCAAGAAAAGAAATCCTCAAGATCATGTCTTGCTTGAGAATAGTAGAATTTCACTCATCAGAAGCATCGTCTCCTTAAATGTCCATACTATCAAGTTTGCCAGAAATACTCCTAAACTACACTAAATAATCGGCAATCTCATGTCTAGAACAACTTTCGGAAAAAGAAAGAGGTGTGTTTATTGTACTATTGAGTCATTGACTATCTAGCACGTTGGGCTCCTCTCTGACCCAGGCCACATCTTGTGCGGTGATCCTATCCTCTTTTATCACTTGAAATATTTATAACATCGCCTGT